GAAAGGGATGGGGAGTGGGATCATACAATATCTTTCGATCACTACACCAGATGAAGAATATGAAGTCATAACAGTATTGTCCTTCTATACTTTTTAATAATTATACATTTTGATTCACAATACATTGAAATAAAATTGAATTTGAAATGGTCAAAATATTGAAACAGAAAAAAAAAATATCTACCGGTATATTAAAATGAACTTAATAATTTATTTGGTTTCTATTAAGTGTGAAAATGAAATAATTCCTGCACGTAAACAAAGAAATACATAACAGTACATACGATCAATATGATTTATTATGCTTGTAGATAGTTTTAAAGGGTAACATTTTCCCTTTAAGTGGAATTTGAATGGATAATAATGTGGGTACCCTTGTAAGCCATCAAATATACAGAAGATTCTCAATTAAATTAAAGTTTACCTATTAATTATGGCAATTAAATCAGAGATAAGCCTGTGAAATTTGAGAATCTTTGCAGTATGAATTCTACCATAGAGGGCACCCTTTCATGTTAATAGCTAGCTTTGCTATAAAGGTATGCATCATGGGATTCAACCCAGACACCTAAATTCAAAGCTGAGCACCTCACCACTATGCTACATTTAATTTCTAGTCATTATTAGACTTAATGACCCCAACACGAAATTAATCATAGATAGATGTAATTACTAATTATAAATATAATTATATGTCACCTTTAATGAGTGGGTTAATGAGGTATTATATAATGTCACATCACGAAAATTAACCATCGTTTAATTAGGTTTGTAGTGTATAATATCGCATAATTTGAGGTCTTGGAAAATGATTAAATGCAATCTGTTGTCAGTGATACTTGAGCCAAAATGAACTGCACCATAAAGGACTGCTTATTAATTAGATTGATTGATGGTAAAGTAAAATGGGTCCCACCATATTGTAGTAACTAGAACATTTGTGCCAAGGACTATCCAGGTTTTCAGAACTGGTTATCAACTGTAAAGATGAGACGTTTTATACCTTTGTTTAAAAACCTGCCGTCAACTGATAATGACTTCAACTTTTTTTACAATTTTATTTCTGGCCTTTTAGCATATTTGCAGTAAGAAAAAAATTGAAATTTATTTTAAATTTATTATTACTCTAACAGGATCTTGAATAATAAACTTTCTATTATTTTTTTACCGCAAATGCTTGCCTTTTTTTATTTGTCTTAAAAAAAAATATTACTTTTACCTTCTTATCTGCTAGATGCTTTTGGCGGAAGCCGGGCATTTTGCAAAAATATTAGAGAAAACAGTGGTGTTTTTTTTTAACATTTTGTCCGGTTCTCTAAAGATATTTTAAAATAAATTTCACTAAAGAAGGTATAAAAAGACTTTAGATTGAACAATGTTGATGCATTGTACATGTTGTGTCAGACCTTTCCATATCAAATCAAATGAAATCAAGAGAACTCAGGATGTTTCAATTTAGCAGGCACAAGAGCATGAATACTTGTGACTGGCACTTTAATGAGACTTTTCTAATCGTCAGTTGGCCAATTATCTGATGATAAATAACAAACACAAATTTGTATTTCTTCTAATTCATTTCATTCAATTAATTTTAATCAAAGGTTTCACAGAATTCAAGTTCTACCAAAGTTGCCAATTATAATGAGGTGGTTATATCAATAATAAAGTTTGTTGATTATCAGGTTTATGCTTGTTTATCCAAATTTACATATATCTTGTCTTTATTTTTTCCAGGTGAGGTGAAAAACAGGATGGATTTTTGAAGGATCTTATACCTGGATCAATATTGGCACTTATTGTAGTTTAGCATCTGCTACAGTGAATGAGCATTACTAAAAGAAGAAACAGGTATTAAATAACCTGAGAAAACGATTGAAATAATGCACATATCCATGCTTAACTGAAGGCACTACTGCCCTTTGACCTGTCTTCAACACACTGAAAATTTACTGAAATTACAAAAGCAGTATTGGAAAAAAAAATAGACTTAAAAAATGGAAATTCACAACAGGACTTGGATTTTAATTGTTGTCTTAAATTTTCTAGGACGCGTAGTCACTCAAGAATTTCAGACGCACCCAAGCAATGTTCGTACAAATGCTGGTGAATCAGCCACTTTCTTTTGTCAGTGTCGTCATCTCAATGAGGGTCAAACATTAGGATGGATGCGTGATCAAGAACGAATCTCAAATGGCAACAGATTAATAGTAGACTTGGAACGTTTCTCATTCCGTCTCGATTCTTATGGATATATACTTGCTATAAATAAAACAAAACCCTCTGATACAAATAAGTATGCATGTGCAGTGTTCTCAGGTGACAACGATCACCCGGTTTTAAAATCGCAATACGGACAACTTAAAGTGTGGCAAAAACCGAGCCCTAATTACCCAACTTGTAATTCTTCATCCAAAGGCTCTCACTATATAGAAGGTTCTCAAGTAACCTTAATCTGCACAGCAGAATATTTAACGCCGCCGGCCCAACTTCAATGGTTTTATAACGATGAACCTATCAATTTTGAAACAACAATTTCAAACGATATAAGTCACGTTCATTTACAATTTTCGTTTGATGCATCAAAAGAATATTATAATGCAGAATTTAAATGTATGCTTACGACAGAATACGACTCAAGCATCCGACAGAGTTGTACTACGGCGCCATTACAAATCGATTCCCGACCAACGGTGAATATTGAGCCAGTGTTTGCAACAGCAGGATTAGAAGTGTCAATATTGTGCAATGCAACAGGAACTCCGGAGCCCTTTATTCACACATGGAAATTCATTCCAGATATTGAACAGGAAGAATACGAACAGGACCATTATGGGCGCAACCTTCGTCTCATTAGTCCACGCACTCGAATGAATGGCACAATAATTGAGTGCATTGCATATAACACCGCAGGGTATGGTAAAGATCAAACTCTTCTCATTGTTCAAGGTATAGATCCGCCGGAAGAGGACGATGATCCAATTCTTGAGCAACCTCCATTTCAAACTGATCAGAAATTTACATCCCTTGAAACGAACACTGTTGCAATCATCTTTTTAATCGTAGGAATATTTTCAGTCATTATTGTTTTCTTCGCTGTGATACCAGTTTGTTTCAGGCCTGCATGTCGTGAAGTCGTGGATGCAAACGGACGCAAAATACCTCAACCAGACGTGTATTTTGAACCGAAGGACAGAGTTTTACCGCCTGTACCGAGTGAGGAGCAGTACGCTTCATGGCGGAGGTCAGTTGCAGTACAAGTGTCAGACACTGGGGGAGATTTAGATTCCACATATGCAGAAGTTTTGGAGGAGATTGAAGACAAGGAATTGTCAATAATATATTCCCGTAAATCTATTTATATTTGAATTTAAATGATGAGGTGCAGTTTTTTTTTTTTGTTTTTTTTTTGTTTTTATTTGAATTTAAATGATGAGGTGCAGTTTTTTTTTTTTTTTTTTTTGATGTGATTGTTTTGTTGTGTCAGGCTACACCAAAGAACATTCGCAAACAGTTGTCGGTGATGATGAAATAAGAACAGCAGGTAGAAGACATGGCCAATGCATCAATACCACTGTAAATACTGTATAATAAATATAATACTATTCATAGGTTTAACAAAAATTAATTTCTATTATACGATTGTTGATTTAAACACTGTTCTAGGAAAATATATATAAGATAATATTGCTTCTTATTGGGAATTTACTTTTTTAAACTTGCTGTATATTAAGGCAATTAAGGATCAATGCCATTGCATAGTTTCAACTTCACATTCCTAATTTGAAGGACAATGAATCAATCATAATACAATGCATACTATTATTTGTATTTTAAAAATAGACATAGTATCAGGACTCGATTTAGTGCTACTTCATCGATTTTTTTCTCTAATATTAGATCAACAAAACAGAAAATCTCAAGATAATTTAAACTGTCTGTGTTTTAAGCTAATAAAAACTTGTCATATGTTTTTTAGTTGATATAAACTTACTGTAAATGATCTAATAAATGCCTCTCTTAAATATGCGCCACTTTCAAATAAGTACCGCACCAAACAAATTTGTTCTCAACTATCAAATAAGCACTGCAGTGAATTAATAGAAATATATTATACTTTGAATTAAGAGTACATATTACATTATGTGTATCACAAAATTAATAATAAAAGTTTCAAATCATGGAGTATACAGTAGTTCCATGGTATAACATAGGGCTCGATTTAGTACTAGTCCATCGTACAATGTCTAGTAAAACTCCTCTGGCCTAGTAAACCTACCTTATTACTAGCCCGGTGGGCCAGTATTCAGATATAAACTATTGCTTTAAGTATGCTTGACCAAGAACATAACGTTACTGATGTAATTGTAGCCAATATTTGAGCTAGTAAAATAGCCAATGGGCAAGTGAAATCTACAGTAAAACTAGCCCTGTGGCCTTGCCACCAAAAAGTTAAATTTGTTTAACACATGGTACCATATACTTTGTACTAAATGCCAATCTGAAATATTTCGCACACTTCTCAGTACTGCACTGAAGCCACCAAAAATATTATAAGTGCTGCAGTGTTTAGGCTATTTATGCTTATCCTTTAAATGAGCATTTCAATTTTTAATTTAAATTCTAAAGGTTTCTTGGCTTTTAAAACACAGACAGTATTCTATCTTCAATTGCCGGCTATGCTGGTACATGCTGTAGTAGGTGTAGATTTATGACACATAATTCAAATGTATGTTGACTTTGAAAGACACATACTTGAATAGGAAGTGTATATTGTCCCATCAAGGGAATAAGGATATAAAATTCTGAAAAATCAAATGGAACTGGCAAGTATCTAGAATTTTATATTACAGTATCCCAGGACTATGATTCTATAATATAAGTAATGAAATATCCAGATTCCAATCAAGTTTGGTTAACATTTTGATGCCGTCAGCAATCACATGAAATACAACACTCATATTTTTACATCATTTTTTAGATTCTGGATATAAACCAGTTCAATTTTCAGTTTCACTATCACAATCTGGAGATTTTTTTAAAGGTCAAATATATATTTAAAAAATCACAATTCTCGTATAAACTTTCTTAAAAAAAACCCAATTTATTTTTGTACAAAAATGACTACCAAGTTTAATTCATACAACCAAGTTTAATGTGACAAATACTGTACCTTATTTACCCATTATGGTTGAAATATGACATCATCTTACCCACATTTTGATATGATATGACATCATCATCATCATCATGCCCATATACAGGTTGTTAATAGCTATGTGGGGACCATTTGCTCTTAACCACTTAATATTTAAGATATTTTTTTTCTCAAGATACTCACTGGACAATGGTCATTTCTTACTTTCAATGATGAACTATTAGAACCCACCGATTTGTTTTGTTCTAAAATCGATTGATACATCAAAATCAATGGGATGTTATCTAGTTAATACATTTAGTGTAATATTAAAACCTCTTAACAATTTCAGTAAATATCGATGCTAACAAGAATCAATTGTTTTTTTAAATAATATTTTTAAGATTGTGAATGAAGTAAGATATCTCTTATGTGCTAATACTAGGCATATTCATATCAAGATTTAAAAATGGAGTGATCTGTACATTGTAATATCATATTACTGAGAATGTTTACACTTTTAACCAGCATATGAATGAGCATGGTCTCATCAATTATTAAGAGAATGACAGCCAGGATTTGTTTTTTTACATTTCCAATTGTTTTGATTGGTTTTTCTAGTGTTGTTGTTTTTTGGTACATAATGCACTGCAGTTGAGGCAGAGTTTTCAAAATCACAACATAAACATTAGGCAGTGCTATAAACACAATATTTACTCTGCATACCTGTAATTAAGCCCAGAACTGTTGTTAAGATCTATCTACACTATTACATTTTGGCTATGTTCTCACAGGGCTGCTAACGGTTAGCAGGTTCCGATTCCTGCTAACCGTTAGCTGCCGTGCGTCCATCCGAGAAAATCCTGATCCGGATACCAACAATATGATGATCGAATCAATGGCCAATAACAAACTAGAAATTGTAAATACATACGTGTACACACGCTCAACTTGCTAACCGATAGCGCTTGCTAACCGTTAGCGGTATCCGGATACCGCTAACGGTTAGCGATAACCGATCCGGCATTCTCACGCAGGTTCTAAAGGTTAGCGCTCACAGTTAGCTCCCGATCTGGATACTAGGGCTCTCTTGAGAACCAGGCTACTATGTGACAAATGTGTGTGATATGCCCACATTTGGACATGACGATGATGTCATATTACACCCAAATATGGGCATATCATTTGTGTGTTAGTGTGGACAGAGCTGTAAATTGTCTTCACAGGATGTAATATCAACCAATGAAAATTTAGGAAAGTAGCTAATTTAAATATGGATTTTTACATCATAGGCCTACATTGCTATTTTGGAAACTCCATATTAAACACTAAACAGAATTGTCAGTTTGACAGTTGTACAGACTAACATTAAACAAAGTGATACTAAATGTCTTAAATCAGATTGATTATGAAGAACATCCAGGATATGAAGTATACCAGCAGAAAGCTATAATATAAACAAACAGGATATATATAGTATTAAGAAGGATAAATTTACCTTAAGTGACGAACGTGCAGTAATTAACAAAAGTAAAAACAGGTTAAAGTAGCAGTTCCGAAAAACACTACACAATAATCAACATCTATACAGCCATCAGAGAATTGACGACAGGATATTTACATTATTAATGCGGTAGGAACAGTAGGTGAATAAACAACCAAATCCATTATTAATAATGAAAAACATGTGGGACTTAAGCTATGTCAAAACTATCATGTTTTTATATGAGATATACCTGTGTTTAGCCCATATATGGGTGTGATATGGCATCATCACAGCCATATATAGGCATCACAGATATATATGTCATACAAGAAAATTATAATATTGACAAAGAACCTTTATACTAGACATAATGTACAAAAATTTGATTGCTCTGTTGCAAACAGACAACCTATATGAGATATAGCTGAGTATGAAAAACAGAGATCTGATTATATTGTATAAAGTGTGAACACATAGGAAGAACAAACTTATGCCCTGTCCACACTACCTTGGTTGCATGTGGCAAATGTGTGTGATTGGCCCATGGGCATGATGGTCTATTGTCATTTTGTAAAACCTGTGTGGACAGAAATTAAGTGACTATGTTAAAGTGTACAATAAAAGGGTACATTTTTGCATGTTTTATATATAGACTAAGATTCCAATTCACTTGTCTTTTCAAAATTCTGTATCATCATTGAATTAAAATCAATATTGTTCATAACACATCCATAGATAATTACTTAATTACCTACAAAAAATAGGTGTGGATGCTAAATGGAATAATAATACAGTTGCAGCTTCACTATGTAAATAGCATATATTCTATTGCAAGAATAATTCTCTTATTATTTATAGTAAATTATGTTGCTGTTATGTTCTTTGAAAATTTATTTATCAAATATTGCAGGTCTGAAACAGATACAATAAATAAACACTATAAACTTAATCATGATTGTGGTCTCCTTTATTTGTTCACAATATATTTCAAAGCCCATAAAAACAAATATGCTATACAAGGCATTCACTCATTAACCATTAATTGACCATTTTATAGGCATAGAGCTCATATTGTACCTCATTTTAAGCAACCTTTAGGTGATCAAATAAGGGCTACTCTTGAGCGTTGCACCATACATTGCTTCCCGCTAAGAGGCACTCTCTGAGAATCACTGCGTCACTTATACAGTATTTGACAGTACATATAACACCGGGAACTTACTATACCCGAAGGTCGTCAGCCGACGCGATTCTAGGAAGAACGCAACACGACAAAGAGCGCACTACTGATGGTTTTTAATGACGATACGTTCAGGACAATCAACAGATGGCATCGCGTCATCTAACACTCAGCGGGAGCGGAGTTGGATCTGTCGTGCGACAGTTTACGCAGTGAGACTAAGCTTTTCACAACATGCATTTTTTTTGGTAAAAACATGCATTTATTTTTTTTTTAAGCGCTGCATTGAAACCTATAAAAAGTGTTAAAGCCAGGCTCTGTAGGAATTTTCTTTTTATGTGGGGGAGGAGGGAGAGGGGGAGAAGAGGGGAGAAGGAGGATAACCACCATTTTTTCCCACCTTTTTCCCCAGTCATTAAATATTTAAAATCACTAACTCATTAAGTGTTCACAAATTTGTCATAAAACACCCTTTTAGTGTCTTTGGAAAATATTAAGTGGTACAACATATACAAAATTTGGTTCCCTCAGGAGCCTGGCATTAAGTGTACTGGCATTTGTTTGGTCATCTATGGTATAATACTAGGGTACTAAAAATAATAATAATATCATGTAAATCAAGAACTAAAACAAAGCGAAATTTACATGATAATTGCTAGCTGTAAATTTCACATCGTTCGTATCTCTCTACCTACTGCCAACCTAAGAAAGTGAAAATAATATGGAAAAGGAAAGCAAGAGTATGAAGAAGAACTTCTTAAAGCCAGGCTCTGGAAGAAATATTTTTTAATTTGATATGTTGTATAATTGATTTTTCTAAGATATAAAAACCATATATTAACAAAAACACTCAAGAGTGGTTAATGAAATACAGATTTCTGAATATTTAAAAACTTGGGGAAAAGGTGGAAAAATAGTGGTTACGCTCCTTTCCCCCCCCCCCCTTTTTAAATATTGGAAAATCTGTATCTCATTCACTGCTTCCGAGTCAATTGTACTACATATAAACAGTTTTTTTTCCTCCGAGTCTGGCTTCAACACATCAATTTCATGCTTCCCTTCCCCTCCATACAAAGAACTATTAAACTTAGAGCAAATGTAATGATGAACCTATAAAATAATTGATTGCATGGGGATTGGATCACATCCCACGAGTCAATGTGATACCTTGCCTAATGAAAATCTCAGCTAATCTGTATACACTTCTGATAGTGCATTGTGTTGCTATATAAGGAAATGGCAATCAAAAAAAAAAAAAAAAAGAGGGAATGCCACATACAGGATTTTAACACTATACACTATGCCATCAGAGTAAAGTATGGTAACATAAATTAAACAATTAAATTAATACAATTTTTGATTAGGCCTAAAAAGAAAATGTTATGTTGGCCCCAAAAAATAGGATAGGTAGGTAGGTAGGGATTTTTTCTTTTTCCCATTTTTTTTTCTTTTTTTGACTGCCACAATACTGTATTCAGCAAAGGCCTTGAAATATATAAATCAATTAAATAAGCCCTTAAAGCCCATAATTGTCATATTTTTCACCCTTGGGCCACTTCTGAAACATTTTGAGTGACACCTGACCACGCCCACTTTGCTCACATAAACTCGTATTGTGAAATTTAAATAAAAATATCTAGGGTCGGTTGAGTTACGCCAACATAACATTTTTTTTAGGCCCTAGACTAATTTTGCAAAAATTCATAATTATCAATAATTAATTATTATTAATAATTAATTATATCCCTCATACATGGCATCCTATAAATATAGGGGCACTCCTATGAATTTCACCGAACTCAGGATCAAGCAACTGAAGATAATGAAAGAGAACTGATTTAATACATTTCTATGGGCATAAAACACAACAATTAAAATAATATAAACTTTGTAAAGTTTTACTACTTTTTTCGTGAGAATCAACATTAGATGGGTAGTATGGTCACTCAAATATTTTAATTAGTTGTGCAAAAAAGTCTAAAATACCCGTAATTCCTTGGGTATAAGCCTACCTCGTGTATAAGCCCATCTCCTACTTTGTGCTGAATTATATGTAGCAGCCTTTCCTCAACCAAAAGCCCTGGGTACAGTATGTCCTTTACAAAATATTCTCAGAAGAAACATATAATATTGGCTTTGAATTAGGAATACAGTAATTGAATTAGGCATTTAAAGTCCACCCACAAAGACAATTTTTTGTTCGGTGGGAGGGCACCACCAGAGGAACTACTGTATATTTAGAACTCGTTTTTTGTATGTATCTGGATCCAAGCCAAATATTATTTGCATTCTCTCCTTCAAAATAGCTGTGCACTTCACTGTATTATAAAATTTTCAAACAACTTCATTCGTCACTTCAAAAACTAAAAAAAAAAAAAAAAAAAAAAAAAATTTGAGGTTAAAAGAAAAGAGACTAAAAATTTGTGATGCAATCTCCAGTTTAATATCTGAAGATCCTTGGTTCAATTACTATGGCTTTTTGAAGTTTTCTCACAACCAAATGCCACTTCATTCTCCATTTCAGTTTCATAGTGAGACAAGGAATATTACTTGTCGTGCTACTATACATACGCATACCCAGTGGCGGCGAGAGGCTGGGGTAACCGGGCAATTTTAATAAAATTGAGAAAAAAAAATTCTACTCAAATTTAAGTCTAAAAGTGCTATTTTCAGCCGTACAGAGGTGCCATAATCATAAATGTTCCTATTTCACCCTCAACCATGGTGGGGCCGAGGTAGATAGACCATCTATTGTGAAAGTCCTTCTCTGGGCCCCTTCTATTTAAAATTCCTGTATCTGCCGCTGTTAAATTTGATACCTATGTTAAGAATACCTTCAGCACGTTTGGATTAAAGGAAGGAAAGCTTATACTTTTCTTGTTTCTGTACTTTATTTTTTATGACCTGGTGAAACTAGGCACTCTATGATCAATTAAATTAGTCCTCTAATCCGTTAAAAGGCAGTAGTGGTGGTCCATTAGGGATCTGCCCCTTTATCCCACTGGGGCCCCAGGATTTTTCCCCTCGATCCCGCTGGGGCCCCAGACCACAACCAATAGGTCCAGGCAGCGAAGATGCCCAAGGGCCCGCAGGCCATTCTATACCACAACATCCTACCAGGTAACCAATTTTTACTCTGAGGTGGTGAGACAAACAAAATTTACAGTGTGTTTTCAAGCTCTCAACCCTCAAGAACGAGAGCCTGAACCGCGGACCATGTGCCAACCGCTTCCCCTCTTTGTGTCTGAATATAACATAGGTGAATACTTGATAGTTTTAGATGCCATGCACTGATTAGGTGATACTTTTTAATATCTTGTTTCGCAAATTATTCTTCAAAAGATCGTCGAAATTAATATAAAAATTAGTTTTCTTATTTAGCAAATAGTTTTGCTAAAAAACATATGGAGGAGAAAATGAAAATAAAATTTTATTGGTGAATGTAAACAGTGCCGTAAGGGGATGGTTAAATGCTTTAAACTTATATATTTAGGAAGAAATTTATATACCTTATTTTCGGAGATTTTAAGGCAGTAGCAGGCGTAATAAAAATAAAGAAAAACTTTTATGTTTTTTCTGAAATTTTAATTTTTTGTGGCGGCAGGTACACTAATTGGCCAAAAATAAAATTTTATTTTTAATTGAAATCATCATTATTGGCGGGCGGTGGGTTCGCTAAAAAAAATATAAAAAATGTCTCGCCTTTAAATTAGCTGTAGAAAAATGATCCTAGGAGCTGAGTATGAGTTCGAATGGTATTGTCCCCAGGACCAAGATAAATGTGAAGTACAAAACAAAGGCCTTGACATTGCACTATTATTATAAGTATTAATTTTTTCTCTCCAGCAAATAAAAATTGTAAGATCATTCACTAAAACACTCATAAATATCCTGCGACTACAGTAAATTAATTAATCCCGTTTGAACATCTGTATTAGCAAGAAAATTATGATGCATCCTTTTATAGGTCATTGTTCTACATATTTTTATTAGCATTTCATTTTACACTCAACTGATAGTGGATTCATTAATTATTTAATGAATATAAAAATCTAATATATTTTGGTGCTAAGTATAACAATGAAGCTTAATGGAAAATAGGTTATTGTCACATGGTGGGAAAAAAGCATGGCATCTGCAGGAGTTGAACCCCTGCCTCAGATAATCCAAGTCAAGCACCTTTCCATTGAAGTCACTGTGATGTTTGTCTTTGTTTGATCTATGCACAAATTTTCTATAAGTGGTGGATTTCTACAGCTTTGTTTCAATCACTACACGCTATCGTCAACAGCTTTCGGTGATGCTGATTGGTCAGTCGAATCGGGAAGCATCCCAATTGCGTAGGGGACTGCTACGTAGTGCAACGATTGCACTGAAAACACTGTAGCGACAGTGTAGCAATTGTATGGAAACAAAGCTTATCCTGATTTTTTGTTCACAAAAAGATTATCAAACTACAACTTTCACTGTCGGCCAGGAGCTAAACAAATTTAATCATTTTTTTAGATAGTCGGTTGGAGCATACTATAAATTAAAATATAATTCTTTTGTTACCCTTTTTCCTGTAATATTTCATAATTTGCATAATATTGTAATGAGATAGTGTTGATAATCACTTCACCTTCAGAGCAGTCCGTTTCCTCATCTAGAAGTTTCCTTGGCTAGGATCACACAATGATTTACAAGATGCAATATGGGATTAGAACTGAAGAGGTTTTCAAGAGGATTTATTAAGAGCCATTCAACATCCAGTCACATTTCAGGACAAC